CGCCGCCCCCCAGCCCCCACCCCGGCGACCCGAGCAGCCGAGCAGCACGTCCGGACGCACGCTGGCAGGAGCGTGTGAGCGCGTGCGCGGGAGTCTTCGTCGGCTCGAAGGCTCGGGCGGCGCTTAGAGCAGCCTCGTGCCTAGACGGCGGAGCAGCAGAGCCGAGGGATGCGCAGATCGGTGTGGGTGCGGGCAGGGAAAGGCGACAGCCCGGTTCGCAGTGCGGCGCTGTCAGCCCGCTGCCTGAGGAGGGCGCTGGCCCGCAGGCTCCTGGCGCAGGGAGGGGTGCAGGGCACATGGGAGGAGCAGGGCGGGACTGACCCTCCCTCCTGGCATTCTGTCTCTCCTTTGGCTTCGGACCCCATCACCGAGCGTCAGCCCCAACCGCGACTGTGGTTTTAGGTCCAAGGACCTCGGTCAAAGTTCTGAGAGCAGGACGCAGTCCTCACCGGGCCAGACTCGTGGGTCATGGCGGGCCCAAAGCCTCAGCCGCCGTACGACACGCAGACAACGGCCGGAACACTGACTCTTGGCTCTAAGCTCCTCCACGGAATGAGTATTTACTCCGTGCTCCCTTGTGCCGGGCCTCGTGCTGGATGTTGGGGTTACAGCTTCCTCGGGCGCAGGTGCACGGCGGCCTGCTGCGGTGAGAGTGACGTACCAGCCGGCTCTGGACTGGCCCCGGGGAGGGCCTCTCTGAGGGGGAGAGTTACGAGGAGCGCGGGCAAAGGGCACGGCACGTGTAAGGGTCCTGTGGCCGGCAAGACACTGGTGTATTTGAGGCACAAGGCAGCCGGTGAGGCTGACGTGTAGGCACTTGACCCATGCTGTATATTCTACCAGGGGGATGCAGAGAAGTGTGTGGGTAAGAACGGTAGTCTGAATATAGATCTCGAAAGGAACTAGGGACGTCTGAGGTTCAGGAAAGGCGTATAGCATTTGACCACTGACGGGGCCTTGAAGGATGGGCAAGTGTTCAGCAGGGACACCTGCTGAATGAGTCCCACCTCTGAGCGCCCACCGCACGGCAGGCACCATGCCCTGTCGTTTACCTGCACCATCTTCTTTCTCACCACAGCACATCGAGAAGTCGAGGCTTCAAGAGGTCAAGGGCTTGCTCAAGGCTGTAGAACTGGCAAACGGGAGAGCCAGGATTCACACTGGGGTCCGTCTGGGACATGGACGTGTTGTGTGTCGGCCTTGTCATGGTACACGGTGGTGAGGATGAGGAGGCCCTTGGATTGGGGCTGGGGGCCATTCGTGGGCCTGGGGAGCTGGGGCCAAAGTGGCTCTGGGCCTTGGCTCTGCCACGCTTCAGGGTACAGGCAGTCAGGGGGCGGGGATGCTGGGCCTGCGGCACACTCATCATCAGGTTGGGGGTGGAGGAACGGGGCAGGGTTGAGGGCAGGTCTGTGTAGGACGTGCAAGGTCTTGGGGTAGCTTGTGTGTGCTCCAGCGAGGGCCCTTCCCTCCACTTCTTTCTGCTCTTGCCTAGATGGCTCCCCCAAATCCTCCCACCTCCTCAGAAGGAAGCAGGGTCCTGCTGTCCCCAGGACCCTGATGAGGTGAGATCAGCGTTTACCTTTTTCTGGTGCTGCTTTTCCGGTTGGAACTGAGATTCACGATGCTTGTGCATAAGCTTAATTAGTGACCAAGAAGGGCTTGGAGAGTGTCGCCTGAACCCAGGAATCGCCGACATATCTCATGGCTGTCTCAGTTAATAAAGGATGAAATCCCACAGCCCGGGACAACAGGTACAGAATTTACACACACAACAAGGTCTTAAAGAGGAGATAGTCATCAATCATGAAGGTTTTCGGGTGAGTCACCACCAGCCTAGTGACTGTCTCTGCCTGGGCCGAAAGCAGAAGGAGCTCCAACAAGGAAATGTGCAGGTGGCTGGATGTGATCAGAGATGGGAACGAGGAGGAGGAGGAGGGGAAGGTGGTGGTCAGTGAGGACACGAGAAGGCAGGGGACGGGTCAGTGGGCTTGAAGCAGAAACTGCGGAAGAAAAGAGGTCTGACAGCAGGGGCAAGCCCTTCTCTGGAAGCCTACAGGTTCTCTCCCTGGGGAGCCTTTCCGTTTGGAAGAGAAAATGCAATTTTCCCCTAAGTGTGGTATTTTACCACTCAAACGTGAGGGGGCCGCTGGGAGCGGACAGTTTATCCGTTGCGTGTATTTCCTTGTGCGGAGGAACTGTTGTTCGCACCCCATGGCCCGGCCTGTGGACACAGCGCTCACACCTCTGCTGGAGCACTGCTGTTTTCCAGTGATAATAACTCAGGCAGGGAGTGTGGCTTCACCCCTCTGAGGCCGAGGCTGAGGCTTCTGCCCTGGAGTCTGGCGCCTGGCGAGCAGTGGCCAACTGTGGATCCCGAGCTCTGCTGTCATCTTATCCTGGCGAAAATTTACCTCCCATCTTCTACACCAGAGTGAACACTTTCTGTCCGGAACCTTCCCCTTCATGGATGCGTCTACGAGTACATTTCCACAAAAAACCAAAACCATTCCCCAAAGCTGAGTTAATGTCTACTTGCCATAAACAAGCTCTGCCCTCAACAAGGACTCTTTAGCAGCAAAACTCAAGTTTATTAAAACAAATATCACAAGCATAGTAAAATTTACATTTGCCTGTGCTAGGCCAGATAATGCTAGATAGGACAGTTAAGGCTTTCAAAGCGTACCATACAAAACAAAATACCTTCATTAAAAAACCTTTCATAAAAGTGGGGGGGAAAAGTTCCCAGCCAAAAAAAAGTTTCGCAGCACAAGACTGACACCTGACTCCCCCCGCGAAGGTGTGGCACAGTGAGGACCCAGAGCAGCACCTGGTGGCCACACCGGCTCTGTCCCAGCTTGGAGGTATCAAAGGAATTCCAAGTGCAAGTCGAGGAGTTGAACAAGGTCCTCCTCCATTAAACGGGCAATCCAGGCGGATTTTTTGCATAGTCTACAATGACGGAACAATCCCAGGTTACTAAGTGCACATGGTGGTTGTATCGGGTTAATCGCTGAGGGGTCTGGATTACCGTGCCCCCCTTCGTCAGACACGGAAGAGAGTGGGGGGGCGGCTTCTTCCGCCTGCAGCTCCCTCCACTGCGGCCACAGGGTGACAACGGTCCTGGAAACATTTTCTGTTCCTGTAGCTCTCACCCCGAGGGCCTGATTTCAAGTTGACTGAGTCGTTCACTCATTCGGAATGTACACTGAAGATACCCGCCTCTGACTTGTGAACAGTAGGCATCTCCGTGCCAATGGGTGTTGAGCCCCCTGGGAGCAGGAGCCAGTCCAGAGGCCACAAGTATCCGAGGGCATTGTGCAAAAGAGGCACAACCTCCCAGTAAGAGAAGAGGTACACCACCAGAGCGGGTCGACTGTTCTTTTCCTTTTTCAGAAACTTAGCTGGTTCTGTATTCTCTCTGAGTCTGTTTTTATGGCATGGCCGAGATCCAGAGGAAGAACGACATAGTCACACGTCAGGGACATCGAGGTCACATCAAGACCACACGTTTATTTATCATGATGCTGGACAGTCCAAAAGTTCGCAGGAAAATGCCAGAACCCTGCCTTTGATCCAAGGTTAATTGATAAACTTTCATTTAGAATTTAAAACCCCAAGAATCAGAAGCAAATCTGGCCATCATGCCAGTCTCTTGATTGTGTCAACGAGGAAAGCTCTACCCGTGAAACTCCGGGGGGCCACGTGAGAGCTGGGAGATTTGGCCTCAAGGCATTCACAGAACATGCTGACTTGTATTTGGGAGGAGACAAAAAAGGGTCTGGCACTTTCTCAGGCCTTCATGGAAACCTACAAATATGTGTACAATACGCAGGACTGAAAGGATTGGAAGGAAGAAACAAGCCGGATTCTCCTCTATGAGTGCAGAATAAATGAGAAGGAAAGCAGAAGCAAAATCAATAGCCCCGTTTCCCCTCCCTCGTTCTGGAGAGAGAGGGGCCAGGGTGAGTGCGTTCCAGTCTCCAGCTGGCGAGCTGAAGGCACCGTCCACCGCTGTCATGGGAAGCTGAGGAGCACGTGTTTGGTCCCCCCGGGAATGGAAAGGTGGTTGGTTCTGGTTTCACGGCGTCTCCAGTTATCCCCTCCCCCTGGACAGCACTCACAATCTGACGAGAAAGATGTGGAACGTGCACATCTCCTGAAGCCGCGTGGCACGCCCGGCTGTTCGTGGCACAGCACACGGGGTCCTGCAGCCCCCCAGGAAGCCCCAGCTGGGGCGGTGGCTGAGGCGGGCAGAGCAGACTCTACCTCCCTTGCCGACCCCGCTTCAGCTCAGCAGCCAGGCTCCACACGGGGACACAATTGCACAACAGTATCTTCTCTGGGAACTGGAATTCCAGTTCAGGAAGAATTTCACTGTTTTTGGTTTCCATGTAACTTGCCAGAGTGTCTCTCAGGCTGAAAAACCAAGGAACAAGAGACAGAAGGTTAAGTGGTCTCCCATATAATGCAAGGACACCATCAGGGGTCGTCACTGTCTCCAAGTGCTCGTGGAGACCATCAAAGTAAAGTCAACCAACTACTGAGTTCCTGAGCGGGGACTAGAACCTGGGGTGCAAGGGCTGAAGGACGCACCTGCTGCTTACCACACCACACCATACAAACAGCACAGAACGGAGCTGACCCTGGTAATGGCTGGGTCACGTTCCTGTACACACTCTGCTAATGTGACCTGCTATATGAACACACAGCCTCACCATTCAAAAAAAGCTTGTATTCCATTTCATGTTTTATATTAACAAAGATGCTCAATTTTCTAGGAAAGGGATCTTTTTTCTCTGCACTAAAAGTCCAGGATAGTAAAGACTTGTTGAATACGTTCAAAGAATATCAAGGCATGCAGGTGTATGCCAGTGTAATGGAAGAAAACTGTAAATATGAAGTGTGCTGGTGAGGAGAACTGGGATTGGATTATCTATTTAGAAACACAGGAACCAGGGGCGCCTGGGTGGCTCAGTTAAGTGGCTGCCTTCGGCTCAGGTCATGATCCCAGGGTCCTGCAATCAAGCCCGGCATCGGGCTCCCTGCTTGGCGGGGAGCCTGCTTCTCTCCCTCCCTCTGCTGCTCCCCCCACCCCGTTCATGCTCATTCTCTCTCAAATAAATAAATAAATAAAATCTAAAAAAAAAAGAAAAACAGGAACGGTAAATCCCTCACATCACACATAAATAATAAACTGGTTAACACAGCAGATGTACATGAAAATATAAAAGCACAGGAAGGGAACATGGCAGAATACTTCACAACCTTTGGATAAGGAAGACTCTTATAGCTATATTTTCCTAGTCCTTATAGAAAAATTCTGTCAGATCTGGCTTTCTAAAATTAAAGACCAAGGTAGAGCATTTGTAACGTAACAAATAAAAGGTTAATCTTAAATCTTTTAAGATTATGAAAAAAGAGAAATAGCCCAAAAGAAACATAACAGATATCAACAGATAATTCAGGGGAAGATACAAAACTGGCAGATACATTAGGAAAATACGTGCAGCAGCTTCACTAGGAAATAGGAAAATACAAGTGAAAATGAGATCTCTGTTTTTGGCCATTTGATTGGTAAACATGTAAAAGATAATATCCAGTGTTGGGTAATCTCACATACTATACATTGGTGTGGCTTTTTCTTTTTTTTTTTTTTTAAGATTTTTATTTATTTATTTGACAGAGAGCACAATAGGCAGAGCGGCAGGCAGAGGCAGAGGGAGAAGCAGACTCCCCGCCGAGCAGGGAGCCTGATGCACGACTTGATCTCAGGACCCTGGGATCATGACCTGAGCCAAAGGCAGACGATTAACTGACCAAGCCACCAGGTGCCCCTGGTTCCTGTTTTTCTAAATAGATAATCCAATCCCAGTTCTCCTTGCCAGCACACTTCATATTTTGGTTTTCTTCCATTATGCTGTCTGGCCTATACTTGCTTACACTGATATTCTTTGAACTACTAAGTATTTACCCCAAAGATACAAAAGTAGGGATCCGAAGGGGTACGTGCACCCCGATGTTTATAGCAGCAATGTCCACAATAGCCAAACTATGGAAAGAGCCAAGATGTCCATCAACAGATGAATGGATAAAGAAAAGGTGGTCTATATATACAGTGGAATATTACTCATCCATCAAAAAATGAAATCTTGCCATTTGCAACAACGTGGCTGGAACTAGAGGGTATTATGCTGAGTGAAATAAGTCAATCAGAGAAAGACAATTACATGATTTCACTCATATGTGGAATTTAAGAAACAAAACAGGAGCACGGGAAGAGAGGAAAAAATAAAACGAGACAAAATCAGAGAGGGAGACAAACCATAAGAGACCCTTGAAACAAACTGCGGGTTGCTGGAGGGGAGGGAGGTGGGGGGATGGGATAACTGAGTGATGGGCATTAAGGAGGACAAGGGACGTAATGAGCACTGGGTGTTATAGACTGATAAATCACTGAACTCTACCTCTGAAACCAATAATACATTACATGTTAATTGAATTTAAATTTTCAAAAGAAGTTATGGTGTATATATATACACTATGGAATATTAGTCATCAAAAAGAATGAAGTCTTGCCATTTGCAACGACGTGGATGGAACTGGAGGGTATTATGCTGAGTGAAATAAGTCAATCAGAGAAAGAAAAATACCATGTGATATAACTCATGTGGAATTTAAGAAACAAATCAGATAAACAAAGAAAGAAAGAGCAAACAAACAAACAAAAAAAACCAGACTCTTAACTATAGAGAACCAAGCACTGGTCACCAGAGGGGAGGTGGAGGGACAAGTGAGACAGGCGATGGGAATGAAGAGCACACGTGTCCTGATGAGCACTGAGTGACGTACAGAATTGCTGAATCACCATATTACACACCTAGAACTAATATAACACTATGTTAATTACACTTCAACAAAAACAGAAAAAAAGTTAAAAATAAAATGCACATCTCTGACATAAGTACACTTGTTATAATGAGAATATATGACTTCTGTAATTATTTTAAAAAACCCAACCGAGGCCAAACCCAAAGCCAGTGTGAGGGGGGCCTGGAGGGGGTGAGAGAGCAGGACATGGGATCTTCCACGTCCTAGAAGATCTAGAAGATCTCAGGAGAGACTGCAGGACTCCCCGCGTGCGCCGGGCCCACCTGCAAACGAACCCCTACGTACGTCCACTCAGGTTTGAAGATGTCCTTGGCCTGGGGGCTCTTCAGTTTCAAGATCATCATTTCATGAAGCTCCAGGAGGAAGGAGTCAAGGTCCGTCTGATTCAGGAAAGCGCTGAGGCACTTAGCATTTTCTGAGCTGAGACCTACTTTGTACTGGGCACTGATATCCCTGAAGGGCTCCTAGAACAAACCAGAACAGAGGCAGCAGGAGGCCGGGAGGAGGCAGGGCGGCCCCCAGGCCAGCGGGGGCAGGGCTGCACTCACCTTACGCAGTCGGAGCAGCTGTTCCGACCTGTGGGCTGACAGGAGTTGCCAGAGGGCAATTGTGTGCTTCAGCTGGCATCTGCTGAAGACCTGAAAGAAACAGGGGCGGGGCTGAGCGGGAACAGGCAGGCGTGGGGGCCCTTCTGCTCCCGGGCTACCGATGCCCCTCTCCACGGACACGGACGCCTCCTGCACTCATGCACCAGCCGTGGGCCTGGCCTCCGGAGTGTCGTGCCCCCTCTGCCGGCCCCATCTCCGAGCCTATTCCCATCGCGCGAGGCAGGTGGCTGGCGTGCCGCGGGGGGGCATCTGTGACGTGCCCGGTTCAGAGTCTCACATTGAGGGTGCATCCCCGCCTCTAGTGCCAGAGTGCATCCTGTGGACCCCGACTGGCGCGAATCCCGGCAGGAAGTGGGGAGGGCAGTGTGCATTAACCTGCAAGAGAGCCCCAACCAAGACCCACCGTTAGAACCAGGGCTGTCTGGTCGCCCATGTGCAGCACGTCTTGGACGTACACGTTCAAGGACATGTTCGGATCGCCACCGGCCGTGCTCAGAAACCCCAGAGTGACTTCGATGACGGACAGAGCTTCGCACGCATCGCTGAAGGACAGCAGCTGCCCGCAAATGGCGCTGATGGCTGTGTTGGGGAGGGGTTTCTAGGAAATCAAGAGATGGGACAGGGGTCCATGGCTGGGGCTTCCTGGGCATCGCTGCCTGGCAAGAACGCTGGCCCTGTTCGCTGCCAAGGCCACAAGGTGGGACGACCCTTCTAACGATAAGGACAGTTAACACTTGGTGATTCCTGAGTGGCAGCGGTATCCGGACTCCTTACACAAACAGACGTGAGGTTACGGAGTCCTCAAAGCAGCTCTGTGAGGAGATTCATACGGACGCATGCACACACCAGACACACCCCCCACACACACCATCAACCCAAAGCACGGACACAAGTTCTCTGGACCTTCTGCATCAGCATACCCGGTCATGACATCATTACTAAGAAACGAATGCAGGATTTCAACAAGAACACTTTTGCTGATTTGCGTCCTGCTTGCCCTCCGGGAAAGAGCAGTGGGCCCAGGGAACTCGGGAGGCCCCCCTGCGGTGCCCCCAGCCAACGCCCAGAGCGAGGCTGCGCAGTCCGCACGGGAGGAGAGCACCGTGACCAGGTAAAAGCGCCATGCACCCGGTAAGGTGTGTCGTGATCACCTGTGGCAGTTTGTTCCTGATGTCCGTAAAGAGATGTTCATAGTTCCAGTCCCGTCTGTACACCAGAGTGGGTATTCCCTAAATTGAGAAAGAAAACAGTCTCTGGACACGGAATCCACCATGGAGGTTTCCTGAGCGGTAACTCCGCTGCAGTTCCGTGCCGTCCAAGCGCCGCCGGGCACAGCATGCCGCCTCGCGGCCCTGTGATGTCTCTGTGGAACCAGGGACACAACAAGGGACCCGGCCTCGCCTCGACGGCCACGCAGATGCCTCACGTAGGATGCTGTAGGCTGGCGAGCCACTGGGGACACAGGGACGTGGGGCCCTCCCGTTCGTGTACTCCCCCAACCACGACTGCGCACAGCCTCGCACAACACAGTCCCTCTGCTAGACAACAGGGATGGCAGAGCCGGTGAGAGCGGCCCGGGGCGCCATCAGTTCAGAGCCTAATTGCGGGCAGTGAGGGAGCACACACACCCCATGCACAAGGTCTCTGAGCGGACCTGGAAGGAACAGAGCAGCCTAGGTGAACGAACAGAGACGTGAAAGTGCACAGGGTGTTTGGGGAGGGAGGATGGTCCAGTGCTCGAGGTCACAGGAGTCCACGCAGACCGTGAGAAGTGGCCGGAGACAGGCCGGGACGAGCAGCACGGGCTTTACCCCACGTGCACCGGGATGCCCGTCGGGGTCGGGCCGTCACCAGGGAGCGACAAGAGCCAGATCTGGCTTCAGAATGTGGCCTGAGGACGCGGGAGGCAGGGAGTGGTGGGGGCTACTGCAGCAGGTCACACCTGAGACGGAGGCTGGGGGCGGAAGCAGGGGGCTGGGGCAGCTACATGAGGCAGCTGCCAGGGCCATCGGGGGGGGGGAGGCAATGCCATTACTATGGCGGAGAAACCCAACAACCGGTCCGTTGGGACCCGCAGAGACCCCGGAGGGATGGAGGATCGGCGGCAGCTCAAGAGAGCCGATGGCCTTGAGGTATGGCCAGGAGTGGAGTCCTGGCCTCTGGGGGGACACGTGGCTGGATGGTCATCCTCGCTCCCGCTCACTCTGAAACTGCTGGATAAAAGCCACACTCGGGCCAACTTTCACCAAACACATGTGCCGACCCAATAAACACCACAGGGTCAGCCAAACCTTGAGGGTGAGCCTGGGTTTGCCGTGCAGGAAGCGGCTGGTGACCTGGCGCTGGATCTTCTCCAGGTCGAACTCCTGCAGGGTCTCCCGGTCTTGCTCCACCTGATACTGGCAGTTGGACAGAATCAGCGGCATCAGGTCCCGCTCGGCCTCGTAACTGATGACGTGCAGGTCTGTGATCTCGGAGGCATCGACGGAATAGCTGAGGGACACAGAGTCGCAGGACTCAGTGTCCCAGCAGGCACACGTGGCCCGGGGCTCTGGGCGACATGGAGCCAGCTCCCAGCTGATGTTCCCAGTCCAAGCAGATGAACATACTGCCGGGCCTGTGGACCCTGAGAGCCGGACCGAGGGACGGAAGCTGCCGCCTCTGGGCTCACGTCTGCCCTGGCCGGCCCAGCAGCCACGGGTGAGCCCGCTCAGAATCAGCTTCCCCTGCAGGCATGCCCTCACCTGCTGCCTCCGCTGGAGAACTTCTCCACGGTGCAGACTATTTCATTGTGCAGGCTGATCAAGTAGCTGACCAAGGCGGTGGAACAGAGGCCCTGGCCACGGCGACGAGGCAGCATGACCTCGAAATCAGCGTCCATGTCCAGGTCGGCGGCGCAGTAGTCTTCCGGCAGCTTGACTTCACCTTTAGAGGACAGGGTGTTGTAAGCACCTGGTCTCTGCGGCTGCTCCCAGTGCGTCAAGGCCAGAGCCAGGGACGCCCTGACGGTTGCGCCTCCCACCTCTCCCCTGCGCTGACTGACTTCAAACGTCCTCAACTCCTTCCTGAGTCCGTATGGACACACCCAACATGACTGGGGACTTAGTTTTCCCACTAGGCCATTTCACGTGTCCCAGACACCTCCACTCAGAGTCACAGGTGAAACGCATGTGGCACGGTGCTCTGTGACTGCAGGGCTGAGTCGGGCTGGCCGCAGGGGGTGTGGCTCCTACCATTGGTCTGAAGTGACCTCCTCAGCTTATTCCATGTCGACAGAAAAATACCAACTCTTCTGTGGAGTAAGTGCTTCAACCCGTCTGTCAAACAAAACACTGTTTTAGAACCATGGAAACACCTACCCCGTCAGGTCCAACCAACGACATCTCACGGTCTTTGGAAAGAGCCCAACTTCACGCCTCTGGGCTCAGCCACGTGTGTAAGCACTGACGCCGAGCTCCAGGGGCTGGAGACCGGGCAGAGTGTTTAGCCATAGCAAGCCTCTGCGAGGCTTTTGGGATTCACGGCACCACCGCTGGGCACTAAAAGCTGGGGGCGCAGAACACCCAGAGCCCCGCCTGCACTTCCCCCAGCCCTGCTGCAGTGATCCCTTCGAGCCACCAAACACGGGTGGTGCCGACCTCTTACCAGAGCAGACCCGTACCTTCGTGGTGGCTGCTCATGAAAGAGCGGATGGATTGGTATTCAGCTTCTGAAACGTTCTGGAACCGCTTCACGAGATCCCTCTGCAGAGCCAAAATCTCAGGCAAGAATCTCACGAGTCTCAGCTCCGCCTCCTGGAGAGGGAAGCCCGGCCACGTGTTAGTTCACCTAGAACACGTTCTTGGGGAAACAGACCCTGGGGCTGGCTCAGGGCCCGTGTTTGCATTTGATCCGGTCAGTGTGCCCTGTTAGGTGATGCCGCATCAGGCTACTCAGCGTTCTGTCGTTCACCAGAGCCTGCCGCCTGTGTGCCTAATGTCCTGCACACCAGGGACAGTCCCAGGCCTCCTGGAGCTGACACATCATGTGTGTTTGCCAAAAACACATGAAAGAAATTGGCCTCATGGGCCCCTGTGAGGGGCTGGGTGTGCAGAGAATCTGCCAAGAGCGGAAAGGCCAGGAATATAGGCAACCAGGCCGGGCATCCCCCGTGTGTCATCTGAGGACAGGACCCAAGCATCTCCAGTCAAATGGGATGGGGCGCCTCTGTGGGAGACCTAGGAACCCCTTTCCCATGGGACTCCTGCCCTTTCACCGACCGTCAGACATTTCTGAGTCCCCACACTTCTTGCTGGACTGCAAACGCTGGTCCAGGGGGAAGGGCTCGACAGACAACTGTGGAAGACAAGCCTTCACGTGGAACAAGGCTGACACGGGGTGTGTTTATGGTCTAACTGATGGGACCGACTCGCCACACTGCTCCCTTCCCCCAAGGCCGGGTCGGGAACACGGGAGATTCTGGACTGTCTGACGAAAGCTTTTTTATTCAACAGTCACTGACGCCCAGGTACTCCTGGCACTGGGGGTCGGGGATGAAGGTGAACAGACACCACCCGGAAGATCTGAATCCTGCTCCTTCCTGCTGAGTGACTGGGGAGATACCGTCCTGGCCCTCACATGCTTCACAGACTCCTGCTAACCCTGACCGGCCCATGGTTTTCCTCTATGACTTTACGCTTCAAACGGCCTCACAGTCTGATGTGTACGAGGACCCCCCTCTCTGGCCCCGAGTCTTCTGCTACCAGCGTTCCATCAGAAAAGCGAAGCACTGATACTGTCAGTTAGATGCCCCACTGACTAAATAAAGGCGGACCCTCAAGTGGTCACTGCGGCGCAGCCTTACCTTCCGCAGGAACTTCCAGAGGATGGGCACGGCTTCCTGCGCATTCTTCTGCTCTACCACGTGCTGGAGGTACTCCACGGTGACCCTCCTCCTGCAGGTCCACATCTTAGAGCAGTGGACCACACTCTTCTGGGGCAGCTGATGCAGGAAGGCCGTCGGGTCACCGTACACGATTCTGGCCACAGGGTTGGAGCTGATCCGCTCATCTTGGCTGATGAGGGTTGTCACTGTCAGCAGGGCTTTCTCCAGATGCTGGGCGAGAGAACGGTACAGGGCCTGGAGGTGAGACCACTCGTGCAGGTGGGGACACCCAGTGGCTTCAGCAGTGGGCCATTTAGACAGTCTGTCCTACTGGGTCCTGCAGGCAACCAGGCACTCACACTCCTTGTCTTTCGAGACTGCTTACAGTTCGTTTGCAGGCTTCGTCTCTGCAGACAGGAGACTCCCAGACCTGTGTTCCATGCCCAGTCTTTTATTTCCCATTGGGCTTATTTACTCTCAATACTGTTCTTAATCTGACAGAGGAGGGAAGAATCACGCATTTCTGGTGGGTATCTACGTTGACAGCTTGTCTACCTGTTGCTCTCACATCCTGCTATAACAGGTGGGGGACCGAGAGTCACCTGCACTTTCTGGACCCACGGTAACTCCTCAACCTGCCCGCCCGGCCACAGGGGCAGAGGGTGCAGGGACAGCAGGACGGTGGAGTGGCCGGGCGGTCAACCCCTGGGCTGGGGCTCGGCCAGAGCCCCCAACAGCAGCCGGGTGCTCGCTGCCCTGAGTGCCGGGGGGACACCCAGGATACCTGCCCACAGGCTCCCAGCCAGGCCGCTGGCCACATACCTCCAGCTCAGGGAGAATGAGGGTCTGCATGGCCTTCTCCCAGCTATTTCTCTGCTCTCTGGTCGACAGTCTTGCATCGAAACCAAAAGACCCTATAAGGAAGCATGCATGGGTTACCCAAGGAACAGAAAGCACAGCAGCTCCATAAACAGGACCTAAGGATGACCAAATCACGCTCCCTTTCAGGGGTGGGCAGGGCGCTTCTTCCTAAATTAACCTGAGTATTTAAAAATGGTCCTCGGGCGCCTGGGTGGCTCAGTTGGTTAAGCGACTGCCTTCGGCTCAGGTCATGATCCTGGAGTCCTGGGATCGAGTCCCGCATCGGGCTCCCCGCTCAGCGGGGGGTCTGCTTCTCCCTCTCCCGCTCCCCCCTCTTGTGTGCGCTCTCTCTCTCCCA